TTATATTTTTCTTGAGTTATATATATTTGTTTTATCTGTATTATTCTTTTGAGTATTATCTGAGTTAATAAATCTATCTTTGTCTATAAATTTTGTTGGTTAAAACCTTTTCTTTATGAGTGTTGCCATAGCAATAAGTCGACAATATTTCATCTTATTTAAAAACTATTTTCTTCTATAAATTATATAAACACATTTCTTAACTACTTGTACACTTAGTCAAGTAAGGTAGCTTGTTAACCATAGGTCTAACTAGTTATATTACAGTTTTAGTGACAACGACAGGACCAAAAACTCTTTGTGCTATTGTGATTTTCAAAGCAACTTTTCTTAAAAATTCTTTTCTTCTTGTTATTTATCCTATATATTAAACAAATTTTTATTGTTCTCTTTTAGTTTATTTATTATTTTAAAATTTTTATAAATTAGTTCTTCTCTTTCATGTAAAATATTATATTTTATATATATTGTTTGGAACTTAAGGCTACATATAGCTTATAACAGTCTAATTATTAAATACTATTTCCTCTAATTGTATTTTAGAATACATCTAAGTTTTAGTGAGTAATAATCCTAGTATAGGGCAAATTATTTTAATTATACCTGATTAGCACACAAAGGACAATAAGTGTCATCCCATCTTTGGCTTATTGCTATATCTTATAGTGCCTAGAAGGCTATTAAATTAAGTTCTGTTAAACACCTATTATCTATTTTACTTAAAAATTCTTTTAAAAATCTGTTATAAAAGTTAATCCTTATTAGGTTGACAGTGTTCTAGTACTCTTCCTATTATCTTCTACCTTAGTTTAGTCAATATCTAGAAACTTTCTTAAAGCTCCTATAAATTCATGAAATCAATTTCTTATTCGAATATTACAATAACACATACCCAACTGACCAAAAAGCAAAAAAAATCTATAACAAAGTCAAAACTATTATTTGATTATTACAAACTGGTTCTGCCTTAACTACTAAGGAGACAAAAATTTTATATCTTTATACCAAGCACTATGGTTTTACTTGGGCTAACGGATATAATTCTAAACCAAAACAACTCTGAGATGAAAGATATCAAATTGAACCTAACTTTGCTGAGCCTGCTCCCCCTATTATCTACTATTTGAAGTTCCCAAATTCTGATAATCCTACAGGAACTATTTACAACTTATCACCTCAACCTCAACCAAACTCTTTCTTTTATACTTACTATTCAAAACATAATTTAAATAATTTAAAACTATACGAGAAAGAATTAAATAATCAAACTTCAACTAAGGATGGATTAAATAATCTAGTCAAATTTCAACAAAACAAAGGCTTTTCTGTCTGGCTTTAAACAAAGTGTGAATGAATATTGAAACATATAAAAAGCAAATTCATGATCACGCATTCATCCATCAAACCAATAGATACTTAATTAGAAGAAAATTAGACTCTAAACCTGATCTTAATTGTTTAATTTGTTATCCTATTACAACTAGTATTACTCCTTCATCATTTCTTTGCTTTTGGGCGTGGTTCTCAAAACATTATAACTCATCTGCCTATAATAACAGAACACTATATTATTTTAATCAAGCTTATTTAAGTAAAATAAAAAAAGAGCGAATAACAGAAAACTTTGAAAAATTAATAACCTCTATCTGATATTATAATAATACTCCAAGTAAAGAGTCTGATCAAATAGTTACTGAAGTAAATTATAATTGGAAATTAAAGAAAGATTTTCTTATCTCTGAAACTAATTCTGAAAATAGTCAAAACAATAATAGTTCTGAATCTGAATCTACAACAATGAGTCAAACAGGAAACAGACAACATAATGGATCTCAAAATGGTGAAAGGGTAGAAATAATTGCTCATATAGAAAATATGATCATAAATGAAAATAATTCACAACAGGGTGCTCGAGACACACTATTAGTAATACAAAGAGAGTCTGAACAAACAGATAATAATAGAGAACCCTCTTCAGCTGAATTAATACAACAACTAATTACAGGATTAGGTCAAATACTCAATAATAATGGTAACTCTAAAGAAGCAAAACTTGTAGATTTGCCTGTCTTTAAAGGAGGTGAAGAAGATCCT